GAGAAATGATGTACAAATGCGCTTTACACAATTGATGTGTGTATGGATTGGGATAACAGTTGTATGAGACCCTAATAAAATGTTAAAAAAAAAAATTCATTTAATCCTGGAACAGAGAGACCATTAGTCAAAAACTAAGAAAATCCGAATAAAGTATGAACCTGAGTTTATAATAATATATAATATCAGTTAATTTAAAAAAATTTTTTAAATCAGTTAATTAACAAAAACTTCACTATATTAATATAAGATGTTAATAACGTAGAAAACTAAAGGGGAAAAGTATAGAACTCTTTGTACTACCTTCCCAACTTTTTAAAATAAACCTACACTGTTCTGAAGTAAAAACTTCCGCAACATAATTTACAGATCATAACATATCTGCTAAGATCCTTTCAGAATGCATACCAAGTGGTTGTAACTAGACAGACAGATGTACAAATACACAAACATATACCTTTCATCTATGAGTTTAAATAAGTAAGTGAGCAGTCGATTTATAACAATTTTAGTTTTGCTTCTACTTACAAGTTATGGACAAGACTGACTTCCCTTTTTATTCAATCTCACCTTTCCCAGCATACACTAGAAGCACTGAATGATTCATTCAGAAGCAACACCCAAAGTTCTCGTCTAGCAATAAAATAAAAGCATCTAAGCTCCAAGTATAGTCAACTCTCCAATACATTATATCGTAGTGGCTTAAATTATTGAGTCTTTGTTTTAACTTCAGGGGGGGAAAGGAAAGCAGGTGCTCTTTAATTCAGGTGGGAAGACAAGCAGCCCCTAAATGGCGTGAGATCTGTGCAGAGCACCTAGGCGAGGAAGCAGGAGGCCTGTCGGAGCTCCAACACAAGTTTGCTCTGTCACCACTGGAAGACGTTCCTTCAACTTCCTTGCCTTTCAATTCCCATGATCGCCACTTCCTTTCACTCAGGGAATCCTTTCACTATCACTGATTTGGCTGTGATGGGTATGTAATCCCCCCATCCCGCCCCGGCCCGGTATCTGTTACATAAATTTTTAGAGAATTTAGAAAGAAAAATAAAATCTTGCTACTGAATAAACACCTACACTCAAGGAGAAAGAAGACAGAATATAATGAGTCGGGGGGAAAAAGATTAAAAAATCGAACTGCCATCATAGCTTTCCATTCCATTAAAACTGTAGTAGAAATACTACCAGTGCACAAGGAGTCTCTCAAAAGTTTGTGGGGCAAAGCCATTAGGATTTGATTCTATTTTTCCATAAACTTTTTATTTATTTATTTTAAAGATCATTTTATCAGGGGCTCCCACAGCTCTTACAACAATCCATACATCAATTGTATCAAGCACATTTGTACATGTTACCATCACGTTTTCTAAACATTTTCTTTCTGCTTGAGCCCTTGGTATCAGCTCCTCTTTTTCCCCTTCCTCTCCCCGCCTTCCCACCTTTGTGACCTCTTGATAAGTTATACATTATCATTATTTTCACTCTTACACTGACCACTGTCCTCCTTCCTACATGGTTTCTGTTGTTTGTTCCCCTGGGCAGGGGGTGTCCATAAACTTTTTGAAGTATTCTGCCAATATTTGCTTGGTTGTCAGCTTAGCTTTCTCATTAAAGGACTATTTGAAATCAGCTATGGTTCTAGGAATTTTAATTTTAGTAATTTAACAGTAGGAGGTAGCAAACTTTTTCTTCAAAGATCAGGAAGTAAATACTTAAGCTTTGGGGTTTGTACAGTCTCTGTTGCAAAAAGTCTGTCAGTTAATACAAAAGGAACCAAAGACAAAACATAGTGATTTAATGTATCTGTCTTCCAATATAACATTAAGGCTATAACTTGTTTAGTTCAGTTCAATAGTGCTGGGGGGGTGGGGAGGAGAGTGGGAACAAGAAAGTTAACTGACAGGGCAGATCAAGTAGAAGAACATCATGAGTTAACACTGAAATAAACTGTGCTTTGGTATGGAAGGACAAAATGCTAATGAATCATGATCTTCACATACCTGAGACTGTTCAAGTTTCCCCTGCTGTGAACAGGTCACATCACCAATACCTAAGACAGAGCAGGAAAACACTCTCCCTTACATGGTTGTTATGACATAACAGGGGATGTGATAATTTTTATTCGCAAAATTTACAAGGTGACCTGCAAAAGTAAAATACCAGATTTTAGCAACTGAGCAATAAGCACAGAAATCCAAATCTTATGAGTGACAACCAACATTTCTTCCGTACATTGAGTCAAATTAATTCATATAAACATCGAGATTTTCCCAGAAGATTACTCTGTTTCCATACCACCCAAGTAGTTTAGACCAGCAGGCTTTGGGCCAGTCATTAACTCAGTATATTTCCAAAAGGCCGGAGTAATTGCTTGGGCTACCACAGAAGTCCTGACTTATTCTGGGATAGAATAGAGGAAGTTCCCTGATACAGACTGTCTAAGTCCAGTCAAGTTCGTACCTAGCATCCCTTAGGTCTATCTTGTTAAATGTTCCATTCTGAGATCGCCACCTCATATGAGCTACAAGTGTTCAATAGCAAGCTGGAGCAAAGAGTCGGCCCACAAGGATCAAGCAAGTGCCTTTTTAAAAACTAATTTTACGGTGCTCCACTACATGGCTTTGCAAAGTAAGCAAAAACCAGGCCAAATAGTAAAAAAGGCACTTACTTGACTCCCACTCTAGCAGCTAAGATGTCACTGGCATGGGACGAGGAGGGGGAGGTGGAAACCCACGGGATCTGGCCAACCACTGAGGAACAGCAGTGAAAGACCTAAAAGAATAGAAGAGTAAAGACAATGTCAAAAGCGAAGGCCCTGAGGAGCCTGCTGACATGGATCCCTCAGCTAAAGCCAGAGAAGGCAAGAAAAGCCTTCAATTTGGTTCAGGCTTGAGTACTTGGCTCATTCTTAGCTGCTAAAAATTAAAGTGACCCTTAACACAAGCGGGCACTTTTAAAAGAATATAAATTGTAGCCTCAAATAAATCCAATTTGGTTTAGAAACTCTACAATATAACTATCTTTTTTAAGAGGAAAAAAAAGTTCTGAATCGTTGATAACCACATGGTAGGCGCAAGTAGATCTAAAAGTAAGGTGACCAGATGTCCCGCTTTTGGCGGGACAGTCCCGATTTTTAACAATTTTTCCTGCAGCCCACGGCGTTTTTAAAAAGTCCCAATTTTTGGAAAGAATGCACGACAAGCTAGAGTATACGGTTTTCAGCTGCCATGTGGCTTTTTCGCCAGGATATGAGTTTTATCAACGGTGTCCCACTTTTGTCCCGCTTTACCAATGTTAAAATCTGGTCATCTTATCTAAAAGCAGGGACTCTGAAGCAAAAATTCATAAAGCAATACTTTTAGAATACATTTGAGGAAGCGGCAATAATGTCTTCACTTAATCTATAGCCTTCTTCCAGCATTGAGAAAAATAGAACTCTCATAAACAAGAGAGAAAAAAGAAATATTGTAAGAAATGTAAAATCTTGGGGTATCCAGATTTATTCAGGAACATTCACTCATTTCAGAAACAAGTTTATAAAACTTAGAAATCATGGTACACTAAAAATTCCCATCTATTTGCCCAGTTGCACACACTGATCTAGGGGCTCTGTTTTAAAAATGCTTGACTCTTAGCAATTTGAATAGGAGATTCAAAAACAACAACAAATCAATTTCACATTTCCCCATGCCTATACTATGCATAGCTAAAATAATTTGGAGAGCAGAGGGAATCAAATGAAACAAACTTGTATGGTTAGCAAGAAAACAGTAATAGTAAGAAAACAAAAACCACGCTCAATTCGCAGTTCCTTCTCTCCTCCTTCCTAATCATTCCTACAAAAACAACAACAAAATCTTAATTAGCATGTCCTTTTCTTCAGATCCACTTTGGAAGGCCCAAACAGGCAGCTGGGCTTGATCAATCCTGACTCAGTGGAATCTATCCACTAAGAAAAAATCAAAAGTCATTTTTAAGTTTCCTTTCTAAACAAATTGTACTCAAAAGATAAGTCTTACCTTAGCTTCTAATTCTAATATGCTTAAAGTTGGGTCACTTTTTTAATGGACAATCCAATGATTCACATTGCCCAGGTCCTAATTAATTTAATTAAAACAGTACCCTTCGCTGCTAACAGCATATCTGGCTGGACTACATCTTGGGTGCCAAACGAACATTTTCTTCTTAATTTTGGCTTGTGTTTCCCTTGCTTGCAGTTAAAGTCCCTGGAAAGCATCCCATTTATTAGTGTTTCCCTTGCTGCCTCAGCATTTCTGGTGAATGCACTACAGCAAATCATTTGGAGGGACAACCTGAATGAAGCTCGGCACAGTGCTTTCTGCAAAAAATGCTCAAACCGTTATCAAAGATGCTGCATAGCAAAGACAACAAAAGGCAAACTGGGAAGAAATAAAATTATCAGAGATGAGTTTTTAAAAAGAAAGGCCACAAAATAAGAACATATAGATTTATTTTACATTAACTGCCTGCCTCAAAAGAAGTATTTCTCCGCCCTTCCCTCAATTCCTAGACTGTATTTTTCCTTTGCTCCTTAATTTTCACCATGTAAGACACACATCCTTTAACGAAATAAAATAGATAACTCCCAAATTGTAAATTATTCCAAATACATAAACTAAAAATTTTTTTTAAATCAAACAAAAGGAACAATAAATCAATGCCATCAAGTTTCCAACCATAGCGTGGCCTGTGTTTGAAAAATATGAGAATTTTGGTCAAGTAAACCAAGCTTCTCCTTTGAGCGGCAGCTCAATCCCTCTTGAGCTTGCTGTATTGCAGCAGATGTTCCACATTTTGCAACAAGACATGTTCATCTGTGTCATGAAATATTACTGTTCTTCGCCTCCTCTGGGAAAGTAAAAGGGTTTTCCCAGGAATATAATGAACGAGGACATTCCACACCAAGAAAGGAAGCTGGCTTGTTTGAAAGTCAAAATAACATTCCTAGTGACATGCAGTTACTCCTCTTCCTGTCCCCAGAAAACAGTCGGTTAAGAAGACTTGGAGTCCACGGGAGAGTAGCTGGATATGTTAGATAGAGAGGAAAGCCAGAGGGAAGCTAAAAGGGAAGGGATCACAACCACATGTATCAACTACCAAATCCAATCCAATGTCATCCAGTCGATTCTGACTCACAGCAACCCTCTCTTTCTCCCACAGTGCAGCTGTGGGCTTAAACCCCAAGCCTTTCAGTGGCAGCCAGGGACTTAAAGCCACTGTGCCACCAGGGCTCCTGTCTCAACTACATTTTTTTTATGGATTTTTAAAAAAAATTATTTTATTGGGGGCTTGTACAATTCTCATCACAATCCATCCATCCATCCATTGTGTCAAGCACATATGCACATTTTTTGCCCTCATCGTTCTCAAAACATTTGCCTCCCACTCACTCTAGCCCCTAATATCAGTTGCTCATTCATTATCCCCCTCCCTCCCCACTCCCCCCTCCCTCATGAACCCTTCATAGTTCATAAATTATGATAGTTTTGTCATAAGTTACCCTGTCCGATGTTTCCCTCCGCCCTCTTCTCTGCTGTCCATCCCCCAGGGAGGAGGCAATACTTAGGTTCTTGTAACTGGTTCCTCCTTTCTACCCCACATTCCCTTCACCCTGCAGGCATCGCTCCTCTTACCACTGATCCTGAAGGAGTCATTTATACTGGATTCCCTGTGTTTCCAGTGTGGGCAACTGAACACCCCCTTACTGAGGGGTTGTGGGGAGGAGACGAGCCAATCAGGGTGCAGAGTAGCAACGATGAAACATAACTTTCCTCTAGTTCTTTAATGCTTCTTCCCCACCACTATCATGATCCCAATTCTCCCTTACAAATCTGGTTGGACATTTTTTTTTTTAAGAAAGCAGAAACAATACATTGAAGGATAAAACATACAGTGTCATGTTTTCAAAATAAGTCTTGAAAACATGCTTACAATACTACATAATAGTTATACACACACATATACACACAGCAGAAACATAAACATATGCATGGGAATAAACATTTTAAGAACATATCCATTGCCATCGAGTTGATTCCAATTCATATAGACCCTATAGGATAGCACACAACTGCCCCCAAGGATTTTCCATGGCTGGGCTTTCTAATCCCATAAACAGTTACAATCTTAGACACCCACAGGGGGGTCACTGTGAGTCAGCATGGACGGCAGTGAGAATCTTTACAGAGGTCAAGGGTCACAACTCTGCTTTGGAGCAGCCGGTGGAATGAAACCAAACCGCCAACCTTAAGCTTAGCAGCTGAGCACTGGAAAGGGCTCCACCAGCAGCGCTCTGCTTGTGGGGGTCACCAACCCCGAGAGAACAGGACCTGTGCGAGAGGCCAGGGAACGCGCTGAAGAAGAGTGCTCGGAGCAGCAATTACGGCTACAGTGTTTCATTTCTCAAGCTACAGGGCATATATTTGGTTGTTCCACTTGTTTTTATGAGCACGACAAACCCATAATTAAAAAATAAAAGACTTTGGCCCTTGTATATTTGACTGGGCAGAACAGAATTTCCATAAGAAGGGAGTGAAAAAGAAGAGCTAGCAATGGAATGGCGTTTACAAGGGAGCACATGTGAAAGGGTGCTCATGAGAAGTTGTCTGCTGCCTCTTCCTCGGTGGAGCTGCCTGTAAGGCGAGCGGTGATAGGACCTTTGAATCCGTAGCTTGAGGCCTCAACTTATCTCTACTTTTAGTCTTATCAAGGATACTCTTTCTTAGGCAAGAAATCTATTTCCTTTTCATTTTACCCCTTTACTGAAAAAAAAGCTCCGGCATATATACTTGAAGTTCACCCACCAGCTGTATCACACATGGCTACGCTAAGAACAGATCTCATTCTGAACCAAGCACTGATGAGGAAGGAAACTTTAACATCTAAGGAAACACTGACTAGAGTTCAGCTCTCTACTTAGTAAATGCATCTTCTAAAATTCTGGAATATGTCATATACTACAGTTATGTTTTATCATCACAACTGTGTGGTTAGGTAACATTTCGATTTTAAACTTAAGTCAGAGTTGGTATTCAAAAATGATCTTGTTTTCATTGGGTTATATCAAGAAAAATAAAGAAGCAAATATCCAAGTATTAACATGAATACAGCTAATGTCAGACAGATGCACAAAATCTACCTTTGGGGTCCCCTCTTTAAAAAAAAGAAAGGGGAAAAAAACCACCCACAGTTCATGGTCGGAACACTCATGCTTCCAGTTTATTCAAAGGCTTCTAGCACTCACACTCAAAAATTAGAAGGAGAGCAATAAAGAAACAGAGAAAGATCTAAGCTGGTATGCTTCTGTTTATCAAGAAATGTAATTCCATCAAAAGGAAATCAGAAACCTTCTGTCTTCTCATTAGGTTTTTACTACCTCCTCCTTTCCACTCAATATAGCTCGAAATATTTCTTTAAAGTATTTTGACACCTAAACTCTGCTTTTAAATGAAAAATAGATTTTTTTTTTTTTTTAATCCCA